GGCAGGGGGGGTGGACTCTAGTATTTCCTGAGGCCACTGTCATGCTCCGCTATGCTCCTGGAGGCCTCTACCATCGCCCCCCCTCCCCCGCCACCCACAGATGCAACACCTGCCTCCTGGTACACGTGTGCTCGCTGGAGGCTTGTCACCGTGGGCTCCACACCCACGGTGGCACATGCTCCACTCCCCTGGGGGGTACATGCTCCACACCCTACACTGAAGGGTGGGGGTTGGGTACATGCTCCACTCCCTACACTGAAGGGTGGGGGGGGGGTACATGCTCCACTCCCTACACTGAAGGGTGGGGGGGGGGGGTACATGCTCCACTCCCTACACTGAAGGGTGGGGTGGGGTACATGCTCCACTCCCTACACTGAAGGGTGGGGGGGGGGGTACATGCTCCACTCCCTACACTGAAGGGTGGGGTGGGGTACATGCTCCACTCCCTACACTGAAGGGTGGGGGGGGGTACATGCTCCACTCCCTACACTGAAGGGTGGGGGGGGGTACATGCTCCACTCCCTACACTGAAGGGTGGGGTGGGGTACATGCTCCACTCCCTACACTGAAGGGTGGGGGGGGGTACATGCTCCACTCCCTACACTGAAGGGTGGGGTGGGGTACATGCTCCACTCCCTACACTGAAGGGGGGGGGGGGTACATGCTCCACTCCCTACACTGAAGGGTGGGGGGGGAACATGCTCCACTCCCTACACTGAAGGGTGGGGGGGGTTACATGCTCCACTCCCTACACTGATGGTGGGGGGGTTACATGCTCCACTCCCTACACTGATGGTGGGGGGTTACATGCTCCACTCCCTACACTGAAGGGTGGGGGGTTACATGCTCCACTCCCAACACTGAAGGGTGAGGGGGGGGGTTACATGCTCCACTCCCTACACTGAAGGGTGGGGTACATGCTCCACTCCCTACACTGAAAGGTGGGGGTGGGGTACATGCTCCATTCCCTACACTGAAGGGTGGGGTACATGCTCCACTCCCTACACTGAAGGGTGGGGGTTGGGTACATGATCCACTCCCTACACTGAAGGGTGGGGGTGGGGTACATGCTCCACTCCCTACACTGAAAGGTGGGGGTGGGGTACATGCTCCATTCCCTACACTGAAGGGTGGGGTACATGCTCCACTCCCTACACTGAAGGGTGGGGGTTGGGTACATGTTCCACTCCCTACACTGAAGGGTGGGGGTGGGGTACATGCTCCACTCCCTACACTGAAGGGTGGGGGTGGGGTACATGCTCCACTCCCTACACTGAAGGGTGGGGGGGGGGTTACATGCTCCACTCCCTACACTGAAGGGTAGGGGGGGGTTACATGCTCCACTCCCTACACTGAAGGGTAGGGGGGGGGTTACATGCTCCACTCCCTACACTGAAGGGTGGGGTGGTTACATGCTCCACTCCCTACATTGAAGGGTGGGGGTGGGGTACATGCTCCACTCCCTACATTGAAGGGTGGGGGTGGGGTACATGCTCCACACCCTACACTGAAGGGTGGGGGGGGGGTGTTACATGCTCCACTCCCTACACTGAAGGGTGGGAGTGGGGGGGGTTACATGCTCCACTCCCTACACTGAAGGGTAGGGGGGGGGGGTTACATGCTCCACTCCCTACACTGAAGGGTAGGGGGGGGGGTTACATGCTCCACTCCCTACATTGAAGGGTGGGGTACATGCTCCACACCCTACACTGAAGGGTGGGGGGGGGTACATGCTCCACACCCTGCACTGAAGGGTGGGGGGTACATGCTCCACACCCTACACTGAAGGGTGGGGGGGGTGTTACATGCTCCACTCCCTACACTGAAGGGTGGGGGTGGGGGGAGTACATGCTCCACACCCTACACTGAAGGGTGGGGTGGTTACATGCTCCACTCCCTACATTGAAGGGTGGGGGTGGGGTACATGCTCCACTCCCTACATTGAAGGGTGGGGGTGGGGTGCATGTTCCACACCCTACACTGAAGACTTGGGGAGAGTACATGCTCCACACCCTACACTGAAGGGTGGGGGGTACATGCTCCACACCCTACACTGAAGGGTGGGGGGAGTACATGCTCCACACCCAACACTGAAGGGTGGGGGGTACATGCTCCACACCCTACACTGAAGGGTGGGGGGAGGGTACATGCTCCACACCCTACACTGAAGGGTACATGCTCCACACCCTACACTGAAGGGTGGGGGGAGGGTACATGCTCCACACCCTACACTGAAGGGGTACATGCTCCACACCCTACACTGAAGGGTACATGCTCCACACCCTACACTGAAGGGTGGGGGAAGGGTACATGCTCCACACCCAACACTGAAGGGTGGGGGGGGAGTACATACTCCACACCCTACACTGAAGGGTGGGGGGGGAGTACATACTCCACACCCTACACTGAAGGGTGGGGGGGGAGTACATACTCCACACCCTACACTGAAGGGTGGGGGAGTACATGCTCCACACCCAACACTGAAGGGTGGGGGGAGGGTACATGCTCCACACCCTACACTGAAGGGTACATGCTCCACACCCTACACTGAAGGGTGGGGGGAGGGTACATGCTCCACACCCTACACTGAAGGGTACATGCTCCACACCCTACACTGAAGGGTGGGGGAAGGGTACATGCTCCACACCCTACACTGAAGGGTGGGGGGGGGAGTACATACTCCACACCCTACACTGAAGGGTGGGGGGGGGGAGTACATACTCCACACCCTACACTGAAGGGTGGGGGAGTACATGCTCCACACCTGGAGACGAAGGGTGTGGGGGCACATACCGGGGAGAGTGGGGGGGGGGGGAGTGTTTAAAGGGGTGGGGTGTGGATGGGGCATGAGGGGGAGGGGCACATGAGGGGGGAAGGCTGGTGGACTAGTGAGAGATCACCGCTCTAAGGTAGAGTAATGGTGACTGGGCGGTATACTGGTGACTGGCTCACTCGGACACCCTGATAACACCACCACCAACCTGATAACGGCACAGGTTATCTTGTGATGCTTCCATGTGTTCTAGCCACAGGGAGCTGGCGGCTGAGCAGGCAGAACACTGGACGCGTGATCCTGTCGTCCCGGGTTCGATCCCGGGTGCCGGCGAGAAACAATGGGTAGAGTATCTTTCACCCTGATGCCCCTGTTACCTATCGGTAAATAGGTAGCTGGGAGTTAGTCAGCTGTCACAGGCGGCTTCCTGGGGGTGGAGGCCTGGTCGAGGATCGGGCCTCGGGGACACTGAAGCCCCCACATCATCTGTGAAGAGACACATCATCTCAAGATAACCTCAAGATAAGCCTCGAGGTTATCTTGAGGTTATCTAACATCTTCCCTGCTGGGAAATGATGACTGAGAGTAAGAGCAAGTTTTGTCAAGCTTTATTCTCGAGTGAGGCCACAAGATGAGCCTTGTAGTTTAGTTCTCTTGTGTCCGGAACCTGCTCTCACCCCACACTGAACTGTCTCACTCAACACATTTATTGTGTTCTTAAGTTGACCCGGTGAGTTATGTGTTTGACACACCCCAGGTGTGTGTGTATATTCACCTAGTTGTGTTTGAGAGGATTGAGCTTTGCTCTTTCGGCCCGTCTCTCAACTGTCAATCAACTGTTTACTATTTTTTTTCCACACCACACACACCCCAGGAAGCTGTGACAGCTGACGAACTCCCAGGTACCTATTTACTGCTAGGTAACAGTAACAGGGGCATTCAGGGTGAAAGAAACTTTGCCCATTTGTTATGCCTGGTGTGGGAATCAAACCCGCGCCACAGAATTTTAAGTCCTGCGCGCTATCCATCAGGCTACCACGCCCCCCCCCACCAGGCCCCCCTCCCCCCTGTGTGTGTGTGTGTGTGTATGTATGTATGTATGTATGTATGTATGTATGTATGTATGTATGTACACTCATATCTCCCATTCCACTCTAGATAGCACTAGCGTCTTGAAAAGTATCATCATCGGTATAGCATCTCTAGTGTGAAAGGTTCTTGTTATCCAACCTGTCATTTTTCTTGCAGTTGTGACGGCTACTTTATTGTGTTTATTAAATGTAAGGTCTTCCGACATCAGTACACCCAAATCCTTTACATTGTTTTTTCTTTCTATGGTATAATTTAACTGAATTTTGTACGTGGTTTCCATTTTTATATTTAAATTTTTTCCAAAGCGCAAGAGCTGGAACTTACCTTTCAGCTCCCTTCTAACTTATCTCTTTGCTGGAGCTCTATAGGCTATTTTCTGTAGCCCATAGAAAGACCTGATTTACATCTGATCAAAGGTTTGCCGTGCCCTCTATATTGTCTACTCTCATAAAAATCCTAGTGTCATCTACAAAGGAAGATACAGTACTATAGATTGTGTCCTTGTGTATGTCCGATATGAGGATGAGAAAAAGTACTGGAGTGATTGGTCAATTGGATCGCCTTACTAGGAGGCCATTCTAGTTAGGAGATAATTTACGTAGATAATTACTTGATTGCTACCAAGATGTGTATCTGTGAACCCGTGGCGTGTCATAATGATGGGCGAGCCCTTGAACATCTTGTATGGTTAATAATGATTCTCCAATATCTACTATCTAATTACTCCCTGCTCACAATAATGAATAATTATGGGTAAATATATGTTGTTATTAAATGAGGGCGAGTCCCACAGTAGCGGAGGGTCCCCACAGTAGCGGAGGGTCCCCACAGTAGCGGAGGGTCCCCACAGTAGCGGAGGGTCCCCACAGTAGCGGAGGGTCCCCACAGTAGCGGAGGGTCCCCACAGTAGCGGAGGGTCCCCACAGTAGCGGAGGGTCCCCACTGTAGCGGAGGGTCCCCACTGTAGCGGAGGGTCCCCACTGTAGCGGAGGGTCCCCACTGTAGCCGAGGGTCCCCACAGTATCTGGTAATATGTAATTCCTAAAATGGCAATATGTATACCATTTTTGGCTGGCTATTGTAAATGTGTTGTTTAGGTAAAGGTGGTAATAGTAAGAATATTCTTATGTTTCAGGGTGAAGAAGGCGGGGCGTCGAGGCGAGACATGTGTGTAGGAACAAGTGTGGCCACCATCACCGACCCGGACTGTCTGGGCCCCTGTGAGCCGGGCACCTCGGTCATGCTGGAGGGCATTGTTTGGCACGAGACCCAGGGTGGTGAGTATGTGTGTAATTACCTAAGTGTAATTACCTAAGTGTAGTTGCAGGATGAGAGCTACGCTCGTGGTGTCCCATCTACCCAGCACTGTCATATAACGCTTTGAAACTAGTGACGGTTTTGGCCTCCACCACCTTCTCACTTAATTAACTTGTTCCAACCGTCTACCACTATGTGTGTGTGCGCGTGCGCATGCGCGCGCTCTCTTTTCCCCAACTCTCAGGCATGCATGCATGCATGCCTGAGTGTGTTTGTTGGTCTTTATGCCGTGTCCACTTTGTCTTGTCCCCTTTATGCCTTGTCCCCTTTATGCCTTGTCCCCTTTATGCCTTGTCCCCTTTATGCCTCGTCCAGTGCCAGTAAACAGTGACCATAACAGCACCACCAGTGCCAGTAAACAGTGACCATAACAGCACCACCAGTGCCAGTAAACAGTGACCATAACAGCACCACCAGTGCCAGTAAACAGTGACCATAACAGCACCACCAGTGCCAGTAAACAGTGACCATAACAGCACCACCAGTGCCAGTAAACAGTGACCATAACAGCACAACCAGTGCCAGTAAAGTGACCATAACAGCACAACCAGTGCCAGTAAACAGTGACCATAGCATAGTATTTTGCCAAAAGTTCAGTACCTCAGTATTGAACTCACAGCAGTGGTGCAAAGCATTGCTTTGCACCACTACTTTTCCTTATTCTCATATCAGATATAGACAAAAATACAAGTCACAGCTTCGTGTCATCCTTTGCAGATGACACAAAAAATCAGCATGAAAATTACTTCTGCAGCAGACATTGAAAAACTTCAAGCAGATTATTAATAAAGTTTTCGATTGGGCAGCAGAAAATAACATGATGTTTAACAGTGATAAATTCCAGGTACTCAGGTACGGCAGAAATGAGAACCTTAAACATAATACAGGGTACAAAACACAATCAAATCTGCCCGTAGTAGGAAAACAGCATGTCAAGTATTTAGGAATAATCATGTCTGACGACCTAACATGTTGGGAGCATAACCAACCAAATATTGTGTCGTCCAGAAAAATGATCAGATGGATTACGAGAACTTTCAAATCCAGGGATCCCATCACGGTGGTTGTACTCTTCAAATCACTTCTGCTGTCCTGTCTTGAGTACTGCTCAGTACTCACACTTTCCCCCTCAGAGCAGGAGATATTGCAGAAGTAAGAGGGAATACAGAGAACATATACGGCACACATAGATGCAATAAAGCATCTAAATTATTGGGATCGTCTCAAAGCTCTCCAAATGTACTCACTAGAAAGGAAAAGAGAGAGATATCAAATAATATACACGTGGGAGATACTGGAGGGCCAGGTCCCAAATCTACATTAGTAAAATAACAACATACAGGAGTGAAAGATATGGAAGAAAATGCAGAATAGAACCAGTGAAGAGCAGAGGTGCCATAGGCACAATCAGAGACCACTGTATAAACATCAGAGGTCTGCGGCTGCTCAACGTCCTCCCAGCGACTATAAGAAATATTGCCAGAACAACCGTGGACATCTTCGAGAGAAAACTTAGACTGTTTTCTAAAAGAAATTCCGGACCAACCGGGCTGTGGTGGGTATGTGGGTTTGCGGGCCAAGCAAAAGCCTGGTGGACCAAACTCACAAGTCAATCTTGGCCTCAGGCCAGGCTTGGGGAGTAAAAGAACTCCCAGAACCCCATCAAGCAGGTATCAAGCAGGCATCATAGACCAGACCAACTCCGGCGGCACAAGAGCAGGCCGGAGGTGAAATTAAATGCAAAATGGAGCAAAGAGTATCAACCCCGTACATAAACTGCAGCGACTCTGCCAGCAACACACGAGCCGAGGCAGCAGTATCATAGTTCATAGCTTAAAGCTATGGAAAGAAAGGTCCTAAAAGATATAATTTTTTTTTTTTTTTTTTTTTTTCAAATAGTTGTAGATAGTTGAAACAAACGAGGTGGTGGTGAATGACAAAACCACCAGTAGTTCAAAAACGTTACATGACAGAGTACTGGGAAGACAGGACACCATGTGCATAGCTCACATTCTGTAACTACACATAGGTAATTTCACGTCAACAACCCCCTCCTCCCACAACAACCTCCCCGCCCCCACACACAACAGTCCCCAACAAACAACCCCCACACACATTCCACCTAAACAACACTGACCTACAAATTGTGTGTAAATTATAAAGGAAATTACTGTACTTGCTTTGTTGTAGATAAAATGAGATTTGTAAACCGATTTTATTAAAAATTTTACAGCGTTACTGTAGACTTAACCTTCAGCAGAGTGCCAGTATAAGATCACACTGAGCACCTGCTCCTATTGGAATTAAAAGAAATTTAAAAGGTTCAGGTAATATTAGGATATATAACTTCTTGGAAGAGTATTAAGGAAACTGCTGAACTAAAATATGTTTCAGGTGTATTGGTGGTGAATGTTACTTGGCGCGGAAAGACCTACGTGGGAACGCTGCTCGACTGCACACGGCACGACTGGGCCCCACCCAGGTAAGGCACACTTGCAAGGTATTTATCTCTGCATGTGGAGCTACAAAACAGCCTAGCAGAGTTAAAGACATTGGTAGTTTATATATAACATTTGAAAAAATGAAAATGAAGTTTATTACTTCATTCCCCAGTATCCCACACATCCATGGCGACCATTCACACCCTTGTACCTCTATTTTTGAGACATGTTATTTTAATCATCTTTTTTTTTTCAATTTATTATGCAAAAACCTTTAAAGACTAATGTACTTTATAATAAGGAAATAATAAAACATATTGATCCCATATTGGTATTAAGAAAGGGTTGTTTTGTAGCTCAACACTCTGCTCTCTATCAGTAGTGGTGTTTTCCTAAGATTAGAGAGTATAGGGTGAGTGTTGTGGTGTGTGGGGTGAGTGGCTACTGTGTCAACTGACTCGCCTCTCTCCCCTCTCTTCCCACCAGGTTCTGTGACTCGCCAACCAGTGATATAGAGTCTCGGACGCCCAAAGGTCGGGGCAAGAGGGGGCGGGCTGGCACTACGACTGCTGGTACACCCGGTAACGATCTCAGTGTAGCAGAAACGCGCAGTGGCAAATTACGTAATGCCAATGTGAAGGGGCGCAGAGGGAATGTAACTCCTACTTTTAACCCTCCTCCTAGTCCAGTAAAATCTGAACCTGGTGGGACCAAACGTAAGGTTCGGGAACCAGAGGTACCCGAAACAAAAAACTGGAAACGGTCACGTGCTTCTTCTCGTGGAACACCAACCAATGGTGCAACCAGTCCTGGGCCAGAGCAGCCTTCTTCACCCCAGCTGATTGAGTGCCCCGAGCCTAACTGTAACAAGAAGTACAAACACATCAACGGGTTAAAATATCATCAAAGTCATGCCCACAACAGTGTCACGAATGACGATGAGACAACCAGTACGGAAGGAAGAGCAGAAAGTGAAGTGGAAGAAAGTCAACCATCATCTCCTACACCTGTAGCAGAGACTCCTGTGGACAAATCTGCACAAGATGTTCTTAAACCTTCAGTTCTTCGCTACACTGGTCCACCAGCAACACCAAGCCCTGGTCCAAGTGAAGAACTTTCCAAAGGGACCACACCACTTCCTACAAGTCAACCAAGTGTTATTCAGACACGTGTACCACAACCTAACCAGGCCTTGTACATGTACACGGGCTCTGGTGGTGTTGTAAGCCCTCAGCATCCACAAGCGGGCTCCCCAGCTTTGGGTTTGTCACCTATTCCTGGCAGCATCCCACAAGTTAGACCCGGATTAATTCGGCCAGAAGTTCGTCCAGAGATGATGATGAGAGTAGGAACCACAGGTCCAAGACCACCAGGGCCTCTTTCTACTGGTTTGTCGGTTACATCAAGCATACCCATGACTCCTCAAGGCACCCAATTGTCTAGCCTTCCTGGTAATTCACCTGGTTTATTATCTGTAAAACAATCACTCATAGAACCAGATAAAAGTAGGCCAAAAGATTTAATGAATGGTTTAATAAGTAAAGACACCAGAGAAGAAGAACAACCAACGAGAGAAGATGCTAGAAGTCCCGCATATTCCGACATATCTGATGCTAATGATACTGCTCCAGTTTTAGATGGAGATAGCGATAATAAAGATATGAGAGATGATAAAAAACCTGAATTACCTCTAGGCGCACAGCCTTATCCTCCCTATGGAATGTATTATCCCAGTCCGTATGGACAGCCACCCCCCTTCCTTATTCCTCCAATACAACCTCCACCGTCAACCCCGCCTGGTAAGGAAGGGGATGGTAAAGATTCTAAGGATAAAAGTGTTGATATTGATAAAAGAGATACTTTACCTCCTCCAGGCAATAGCGAATATCTAAGTAAAATTCCACATCAATATCTATATGCATCCCATTACTTATATAATCCAGGTTATTCAGATCCGTTTTTAAGAGAAGCGCAAATGTATAAGGAAGCCGAGGGTAAAGAATTGGTTAGAGAAGGAGATAAAGGTCCAACAGACTTATCAAGATCAGCACCTTGTTTACCAGGGTCAGTCTCATCTGTCTTGCCTAAAGATAAAATAGGGATGACAAAAGACAAGCAAACAGAAAATCATGCATTAATCAAAGAGGCACATGAACTTAAGAGTCAACTAGCAATAGAAAAAAGGTCATTTGAGGAACCTCCAATTGCATATAGGTATCCATTTGATCAGCGCTTGCAACTACAAACACAACCTCAAGAGAAACTAGGGGATAAATCTATGGGAATACCAAAGCCTTCACCCCCAGCACCTCTTTCTAGTCCTCGGGTTGTGTCCACACCCCCTGCAGGCTCAATAAACAACAAAGATGACCGTGGTGATAAAAAATCTGAAAGCAAAAATGAAGGAGTGAAACCAACCATGGAAACAACTGGGCCTCCACCACCTCCAACATCAACAGCATATTTTCCAACTTTTCCATACAGTCCACTACCTTACGACCATTATCGACCCATGGTTCCACAAATGTCATTGCCTGCGGGTTATCCACCACCTCACTATTTACCTCCTCCAGGGATGGTGCCTAGGTTTTCCTTAAATCCTGCAGTCAGTAATACACCAGAGGATTTGTCCCGAGGTGGATCTAGTGCACCATTGATTCACCCTTCACATCTATACTCAAGTCATAAAATTCATGAGCTTCAAGAGCGAGCTAGAAAGTCTCCTTTGTCTTCAGCGGCTTTGGGTATGACACCGCCCAGCATCTTAAGCACCCCTCAAAAGGTGGGTTCTCCAATGGCTAGCAAAGATGGATCACCACTGACACCCGTCACTTCCTCTTCTGTCTCCGGCTCCATACCTACTTCTTCCTCATCTTTGGCCCACGGAGGGAGTGGGTCTGTGGGAGGAGGGGTAGAGGGGCGGTCACCCCCCACAGCGCGTCCCCCCACACACCACCTGCATGAAGGCTTCTCTCCCTACTCTCTGATCCCCACTCAGTATCATTATGCAGGTAAGGCTCCATCAGGCTATGCACTCTTTAAGCTTGTTACTAGTTGGTAAAGCTTATTAACTGACTCTTACACTCACTCACTCACTCACTCACTCTCACACACACACTCACTCACTCTCACACACTCACTCACTCTCACACACACACTCACTCACTCTCACACACACACTCACTCACTCTCACACACACACTCACTCACTCTCACACACACACTCACTCACTCTCACACACACACTCACTCACTCTCACACACACACTCACTCACTCTCACACACACACTCACTCACTCTCACACACACACTCACTCACTCTCACACACACACACACTCACTCTCACACACACACACACTCACACTCACTCTCACACACACACTCACTCACTCACTCACTCACTCACTCACTCACTCACTCACTCACTCACTCACTCACTCACTCACTCACTCTCACACACACACACACACACACTCACTCTCTCACACACACACACACACTCACTCACTCTCACTCACACACACACACACACTCACTCTCACTCACACACACACACTCACACACACACACTCACTCACTCACTCACTCACTCTCACACACACACTCACTCACTCACTCACTCTTATATATACACATATCGCAATGAAATCACAGTGGCATGCTATATCAATGAAACTCACTTTGAGGCAGTGGAGGGACTTGAACTCGCGACCTTGTTATTTCTAAACATATGATCAGTTAACCTCCCAGAGAGCTCAGTAGAGTTCTGGGTTGGTCAACTTTTGTACCACCGTTGCCAAGCGGTAAGGCAGGCACTTGGGAATCACCAGGTCGCAAGCTCTTGTCTCTCCATTATCTCAAAATGATTTCATATACTGTATATATAATATATATACAGTATTTATATATAAATATATATATTATATATATATATAAATATATAATATATTATATACAGGTATGAAGATGTCAGATCATGAAGGAAGGATTAACCCTTAAGCTGCTAAGGGGTCCTGAGGAGATTTACACCTGTGCGCAAGAAAAAAAATCTTAAACTTTTTTCGTCTTCCAAAAATGTTAATTTTTGATCCTTGAGCATGGGGTGGGGGGAGGGGTGGATCGTAGGTGACATATTTTGGGTGAAATAAGCCGAGGAAATCTGGCAAAATTTGGGCGTTGACAGAGCAGTCGTCAGAGGCGCTCGGCGTCACCTGAGCTGTCAGGTGGGAGTTGCCACAAAGATGATATTACCTGATTATTTCAATGTCTAATTTTTTCTTAGTTTTTTGCAGTAATATTATTCAATAGTGTGTAGTGTGATAGATTTATATAATAAAATGTGTGAATTGTCACTATACTCAAAAGTATTGTGTTCATATTAGTAATTCAAATATTACATTCATAAAACAATAAACAAATAGTTTTGCTGTTATTACACTATATACACACATTATATATAAGTATCTACATGTTTTGTTCACCACAACTGTACAACTAAGCTGATATAGTTAGTTCAGGCACTAAGAGACATCGCTACACACACAGCAGGCGGGTGCCTCCCTCACTCATTCAAGGTCAAGCGCACTAAAAATTTTCCCCCAACAATACTGTCTGTGGTGTTATTACACTATATACACACACATTATATATAAGTATCTAAATGTTGTATGCACCGTAACTGTACACCTAAGCTTGTAGGGTGCCCAAAGAGCATAGTGGCCACCCTCTACACAGCTAGACAAGTCATGCAGACGACCCACCTCAGTCACCTACATGGCTCCTCCCAACATAATTATTTTGCTGTTATTACACTAATACACATTATATACAAGTATCTACATTTGTGTTCACCATAGAGAACCACTGAGCTGGTATGGTGAATGCAGACAATAACAGGTGGCCACACAGTTGGTACACGACGCTATCTCCCTCCCTCCCTTAGCATTACTCCTCCCACACAGCGCTAATTATCACAACAATCCTGCTATTATCACAATCCTGGTAATTTTTATCACAGTCAGGGGTCATCTGTAATACTGTCATCACTAAATAATAGCAGTTACATATTTATTTTGACATTTTTAGGCGATGCTGTGGTCACAAGCTGAACAGTAATGCTGTTAGCTTATGCTGTATGTGCTAGCCTTGGTTGTTCCCACAGTACTGTGGCTCTCACACCGGGGAATATTGCTCACGATTTTTTTAAATATGGCGTCTGTTTACAAGAGCCCTGAGGAAGATATGAACCCTGTGTAGCCACGGGCCATTTGAATCGTGCCTGGCACCCTATGGTGTATATATACGCCATGGGCACGGTAGGACATGTTACTCATGGCATATATATATATACGCCATGCACAGTTTAAGGGTTAAGACAGGACATTTCTTGTCTTAATCCTTCCTTCATGATCTGACAGTCACATTTTCTTTGATTTACACAAAGAAAATTTGACTCACATTTTCAGTCAGAAAATGTGACTTTGTGAACAACAGAATATATCAATGATAATCATTTTGAGGCAACGGATTAACTTGAACTTGCATTCTGGTGATTCCCATATTCCTGCCTTAACCGAATCGGCCATTGTTACAAAAGTCAAGTTTTGTACCACTGTGGCCAAGTCGGTTAAGGCAGGTGTCTAGGAATCACCAGAATGCGAGCTCAAGTCAATCCATTGCCTCAAAATGATTATCATTGATATATCATGCCATTGTTATTTCATTGCCATATTTTACTATTTATTAGATATATATTATATATATAATATATTATGTATGTTATTTATACTGTAATACATACAGTATATTATATACTACATAAATACATACAAACTGTAATGAAACGGTGGGTGTTCTACTCTCCCAATGTAATTAGTTTCTTACATTTTATATTTTACCCGCTTTTCTGTGAGGGCTACTTTCCGTGGCTCATGGAGCTATCTGGGTACGCTAGTGAGCGCAAGCCTCAACACCCCACCAGGCCGTGTCTTTCACACGTGCTTACCACAGACCAGAACGAGAATCTGGCCCTTGAGTAGAGGCAAGTAAGTCTGAAGATACTAGATCAACTCACACCAAAGGAAAAAAAACACCACAGAGAGAGGGTGGTGCCACCTCAAACTCAAAAAAAAAACACACAACTTCACCGTCACCTCTTAACATGATAAAGGGGACGTGGTTGGGTTAACTGGATCACTCGAAAGGAATGAGTTGTAGTTGCCTGTAGACTCGCATCTCCAAATCTACGACATGGAATATATTAATGAACAGTACACACTGTGGTTCCTCTCACAATCTTTACCCAAGACACAAGCAGATCTACTCATAAAAGAAAACAACATGTAAAGGATCTGGGAATAATGATGCCGGATGACCTAATATTTAGTTAACATAGCAATTATAGCATCAGTCAGAAAAATGTGATGGATTAGAGCCATGCCTCCTGGCTTAACCCTCCCCTCTTCTTTCCTTTTCTGTATCACCTCATAGTACAGTAACCTTGGTCACCTTCAATTCCTTACATACACAGTAAAGATTACTAAGTGGTACAATTACTGATAATATTCACCCCTCCCCAGCATCACAGTTACGCCGCAGGTTTTGTATTCAGTAATCGGTATAGACTTTCTCTCCGAGTAGTCGTTGAATTTCACTTTTGCTGAATTTACTTTGTGGTGCAGGTTATCTGGTGGAAGGTGCTGTATAGTTCTGGTCTGGCTTGGATGTTCTCGAGTTTGGAGCCTCTGCTCCCCCCCCTTTTTTTCGAAGAGGTGAAGTGTTTTTCGTTTGTTTCTTCTCCTTGTCCCTTACCAGTTTTGAGCCATGCTGGAGTGGTGTGTCCCCTCCCCTGGTCCTAGTTTCATTGTGTTTGTTGCCATCAGAATTTTTGCCTTCTTCTGGTTCATGAGTGAAGGGCATATGAAGGGCTCCTGAGGTTTCCTTTTTCTTGATGGAGACAATTGAGCTTGAGCTTTCTGCCAGTCCATTATCTTTAGGGGGCTTTCCATTGGCTCAGATTCTCCAACATGGAGTGATGCCTGTCAGTTTTCTTAGTCATTGGCAGAAAATTTGGTTCTTCTCCGGGGTCCTTGGCACATGTTTTAGTAACTCGGTTCCACAAGCAACTCGGTGTGAACCAAGTTCACACATTATTGGGTCCTTAGGTGGGTCCATGGGTGCCTTTCAACCCTTTATGGTCACGTATGCCTGGTTCTGAGCAGTTTTCGTTTAGCACATATATATATATATATATTTATATATGTCCCATTTCCAGTGGTGGTTTCTTTCATCTCTTTCTTCAACTTTAGTGTGGGCAGACTTTCTTCAGTTCCTTCTGGATCAGGACCTCGCCTCTTTTGAGTTTGGATCCATTTCTGCCTCTTTGATGAGATATAAAGTCCAGTCCTACCCCTGGCTTACAGACTTTTCCCTTTTCTTCTTGGAGTCTTGTCATAGTTTCTGCGATAACTGAATGCTTGAGTGCATGAGGTGTGGGTCAGTGTTTTCTGGGCTGTTTATCTTTTGAGGCACTCAATTCCTCCCTGTTTGCACCAGTCCTGCCTTGGTATGTGGGCACTAGGCAGCTCATGTGAGTTTGCTCATGCTTTCTACCACTCGGGTGTGTTTCTCCTTATGTCTGCTTCTCTTCTCTTGTTTCTGGAAGTGATGGCTTGTGCGAGACTGTTAGCTTTGGCTCTTCAGCCTTTGAGGTACGTATTCTTGCTGCAGGATTCTGTCCCTGTTGTGGGCTGACATTTTTTGAGGAATAAGGGTCTTGCTGCCCCCTGTTCAAGGTCTATTGCTCTAAGGTGCAATATTTTAGGCTGTAGTGCTGTCTTTGGCTTTGTTTTATTCTGTTTCATGGAGACGTTCTCATTACTCTCTCGGGTGCTCTAGGAGTGCTTTGTACTGGCCCTTTTGTAGTTTGTCCCTTTGATAGCATTTTAAGTGGTTTCTCAGGATCCTCAATGGGGATGGTTTTCAGTCTCCCCCCCCCCTCCTCCCTTTTATCATCATGAGTCCAGACTTGACCATATTATCCTCTGCTCTGCAGGGTCATTGTGGAGTGATTGGGCACTGGGGTGTCCGTCCATTCCACTTGCAGCTGGTGTACTGTTTGTTCCCATTTTGCAAGTGGAACTCACCAGACCTTCCATTCTTTCTTGCCCTCTTGGATATGGACAGTTTTAGTCCCTATCCTACCTTTTGCATATTCACCTTCATTAAGGTATGCCTGGCCTTATGGGCAGGTGCTTGGATGTTTTCCCTGGTGCTTTGTGATGAGCCCTAGCACGTCCCTATTCCTCTGGATAGGGACGTGAGTTTCTGAAACTGGCTAAGGTTTTCATGTGGGGTGTCTTTGTTTTCTCCTCTTGGTTTTTCCTTTTAGTTATGTTCTGGCATTGAAGACAGGTTGATGTGGATTGTGTTCTCTCATTTTCATCTTTTGGGGACCTGCATCTATGGTTGGTTCTGTCACAGATTTGGATTTGGCTGGGCCTCATCTCAGTTTCCCAGCCTGTCTGCCATCGTCCCTTGATTGCTTGGTTTCTCATGTTTTTGTTATGGAGTGTTCTTCGGTTTCCCATCAGTAGCTCTAGTTGTTGTGGTAATGCTTAAACTTTGCCGGCATGGTTTTTCTGCTGGGCTGAGTTTAGCTTTGGGCATTATACCGGTATCTCTGGAGTCGACCCTTTGCCACCATCTGGACTATTTCTTGATTGGGAACTCTGGTTGTTCTATAGTGGCTACTTTGTCACCAATTACCTCTTGAGGCTTTCCGAGGTTTAGTTCTATGACAGCTTGCTCCTTACATGTTTGACCTGTTCTTGACTTGGGCTGGGTTTTTGTGACCAGCTCTCATCAGGCAGCTCCAGGTGTTGGTTGGGTCCTATTCAATGGGCACACAGCCCTTTTCATGAGTTGACTGCAGTCTGGAATGCACTGCAGCTCCATCTCCTCCTTGGTCCCAGTGATCCAGCTCCACTCAGATTGTTCCCAGTGTTTCATGATTTGGCTCCATACAGTTCACATACTGAGCTTATCAAACATGATTGTGGCAGGTTTCTCTTTACTGTCCCATCGCCATGTAGGGGTTGGTCGACTTTGTCCTGTTGGCTTTGTGAGAGGTTTGATTGATCATGGATGGATTTCTCTAAGGTGGTGCGTGGAACTGGAGCCTTCTGGCTTATGTGGACCTGTTCTTGCATTGTGAAGGCTTCACTGTGGATACTTTTCACCTGGAATGGAGGCGTTTGGATTTCTTGTATCTCTTCCCGCAAGTTGTGCTCCATTTCTCCATCCATTTTTAGACTGGAGATGTTTTTGGGCAGGAGTCTTCTGGCATCCAGGTAATCGGCTTGACATCCAAAACTAGCACATTTTTCTCCTGCACCTTTTTTAGAAGAACGGTCACCGGATGTTTTTCTTTGATTCGGTGCTCTCTGCCAAATTTACATCGCATTGTCTGTCTCGTCTCCAGCTGGCTTCGGCCACGGTTCTGGTCATCCTGTCTTTCCTTGCTTTTTGTGCACCATCATTTGATGCCTTATACTGTTGCTCCCTTTTGCTTAGCTTTGGCAGAGCCTTTTTCATTTTCTTTTGGCATCAATATTTTGCCTTTGTGGCGAGTGTGATTAACTAGCAGCTGCATCTGGACAATGAGTGAGTACATTGTTTGTGTTAGGGTTACCACTGTTTCCATGCAGTTGCTTATTTTCTACCTTTCTGGTGGTTTTCCTTTTGGCTTGGGTGTATCTATAGTATCCCACCAACCTCTCTTGCCTCTACTGAGGTACAATATTCTGGTCCTGGGTTCTGGTAGGTACTTGTGACTCAAAAAAAAAAAAAAAAAAAAAAAAAAAAGGCTTGGTGGGGTGGTTAGGGCTGGAGGTGACCAAGCCAGGGAGCATGGTGAGCCACCAAAGGGACCTACCAGAAAGTGGAGCTTTATTACATTCAGAAGTGGGTTTTTATTCATTGACACCTGTTCAATGAATAGCTTTAAGAAAGAGGACTTTATAATTTTAAACTTTAAATAATAACTTTAATAACTAAATATAACTTTATTAACTTCCAGAAAGAGGACAATGAAATAAATAAATGTAAGACAATTGATGTTTTCAACTGATATTGATAATGCCATTAAATAAGTTCCATTATTGCAGCACTGGGAGTGGGGCAGACAGCAGTGGCGGCGGGAGCGCCCTCAGGTCTAGCACCGGCTCCACCGGCCAAATGAGGTGCAACAATCTCAACCGCAGATGACCCTGTGGCTGGACCACCCGGGCACACTAGTGGAGAGATTGCAACAACTGATACCCAATTTCCATTGGGTTTAAATGAAGAACATTTCAAGTGGAGCTGATACACGTGAAGACATACAGTATTATTAATTGTGAAAGCAGAATACTGTATTTGTGGATTTTGGTTCTTTGTGTTACCTGTGGATTGTAAATGCATTGCAGTCCCCTGGAATAAACCAAGAAAATATCTTCTTTTAGAAGAGGAAAGGGTATTTTATGTGTGGTACAAACCTGCCAGGCTGTTGGAAGGGAGGAGCAAGAAGTACAAAAAACAGAAAGTGGTGTTTTGGTGTATATGGAGAAAAACACTAAATGGATTATTTATAATTGGTAGAATAATCAATATAAAATCTAGCATAAAAGTTTTTCTACAAAAAATGAACATTAAGTTTTTGATTAAATAAATTATAGATTTTTGTTATGAGCTTAAAAGCTCAACAAAATGTTTAAATAAAAATGCAGTGGTAAAGTTTGTGTTTACCACTGTGTGTGTGGAGTTACTTGTCAACAGTGAAGTGCTTGGCTGCATATGTGCTAGATTGGAATGATGTTTGTAGTGATTGGAAAAGACTTATGCAAATTTGACTGCTGAAATTCCAATTATGAATCTGAAAATCTATCAGAATCATAAGGTGGTGTGGGTTTGCCTCATGTGATAATATTTAAATAGAGACGAGCATGAAACTTGGGCACTACTGGACTGGCATCGTGCTGGTGACGTCAAGGAACTCTGTTGATTATCTTATTTTTATAGATAATTGGTAACAAATTGGTGTCTTTCATTATGGAAGTAATCAGAAATTATTGCAACATACTGAGTGGTTTGCATAGGCGAGTTATTGGTATGCAGAGTGCTGACATACCTCCTATAAGTGTTCACACCAATAGCCTTCTTGCGAAAAACAAGTGTCGTGCTGTTACGCTCAGGTATGATAGAAAAGTTTATGCCGAAGATTTAACACGGGCTTATGGAAGGTGAAACAAAAAAATGAATACCTGAAAGTATCACATCTTTCTTGTATTCCTCAAGAATGGAACACTGGAGCTGAATGATGGTTTGCAATGCCTTGTGTTTGTGGCAACATATAAAAGTTCTGGATTGTATTAATTATAGGACATGCCTGCATGAGTTATGTACTTCAGGTACATAAGTACATTTAGGATGTCTTCACATTTAATGGGTATTTATTTATTTTCTTTTAGATGACCAGGACTGAAGTATGGTCCACAAGCATTAAAGCAGAGCATACGGTGGTGTTGGGTGTGGGTTGAGGTTACATTACCTAGAGCACTGTAGGTGAGTTTTGTGGTGAGCTTAGATTCGCCCGTGTGTAGTCGGTCTGTGTGCTGTGTTCATTATCATCACTTTCATCATCATTTGTATATGTGTTCATACTGTGATCACGATGCTGTGGAGTCCATGTTATTATACTTTGTTGTCCTGGCCAGCCTGTGATAGGGTCAGCAAACTCAGGTGTGAAGAAATGGCTGTTCGTTTGTCTGAGGACCTTAGATCTAGCAGATGGCCGGGCAGCCATTTTACTATATGGATGTCATTTCAAATTATGTTAAAGGTATAAAACTTTATATTTCCTTTGGGGAATTCATAAAAATGTAGCTAGGATACATGTGAATCACTTGAAAAATTATTCATGAGGAAGGTCCATTGGAATTCTGAAAAATACAAAGCTATTACATATTCTAGTGTGAGGTAATGTCATTTATGAAACTTGAGATAATAAGTGGTCCATGTAAAGGAAGTTGTCACAATAGGTGTCATTCCATTCTGGTGATCATTCCATAACTTGGGTGTCGTCAGGCTCACCAGCCTCCGGTGTTCTGCAACTTTGTTATCCGGCATTAGGCTATAATGCTATATTCCATCAGGGCAACAAGGGCCCCTATCTTATTTAGAAAGATGACGCTTACGGCCAGTTGTTACCGAAAATTTACAAATGAACTGTATAAACTGTGGTAGTGGATTAAATGTTACAAATTATATCTTTGACTGGAACAAGTAGCTTCACTAGGGATTCAGTTCAGCTTCATATTAACATGTTAAATATTATTATAGTTGTTTCAGGATATTCTAAAATCAATTTTTCATCTTGCTGATATTTCATTTGGAAGAATGAGTGGTTCTAATTAAGTCACTTATTATATGTTTCTCTTGTTACAGGGAAGGTAAATTGGTTCACCGAGTGTTTACATATGCTCGGCGCCATTTTGAATAAGATTTATTGTAATACGAGGCAAACATTACAAATATTTATTTTCTTGTAAAAGTTATCATGATCTATATTTGGTATATTATCAAATATTAAACATCCTCTAATGATTCATAGATAACTGCATTACAGAAGATCTAACAGTAATAACTACATAAACATTTTGTAAGTGTTGTTGTGTTTGTTGTGCAAACATTCTGGATGTTAGTGTTGCTTGGCTTCTACCAGTTATTTTCACCTTTCAATTGAGTGCCAAATTTCATGTTTGTTTTACTTTTGTAATACAAATGTGTCACGACATTTATCCTGGAAAGATGTGGATGGAACAGGATGTTTTCAAGCAATTTGATCATTATTTAGAATTCACTTAATATTTAAACTAGATTCAAATGGTTGATAAAACAAATGATGATTTTCAATAAAAATATGGTTTTGAACTATATTTATCGTATATTTAATGAATTATTAAGATTAAAGGTAAAAATTCTTCAAAAGTGAAAAAATTGAGACAATTTAATTATATTTTTGAACTATATTTGGTATACTGTAACTGAATGTAAGTTCACACTTAAATACGAGTTAAGATAAGAAATAGTTGATCACTTGTAAATCTCTCAATTGATGTTAAATTACTGAGGAAGTTTAGCTGTTGTAACGCAACATTTAAACATCTTATATATTCCGTTGCATTGCACAGTGAACTATACAACAAAACTTTTGGATCAATGTCATGTCCAGTTATTTTTTAATCTTTTTACAGACTTGAATCTTCCTTTTCAGTAGGAACGATAAGAGGAAAACTTTTAACCAAATTCTACCATAAAAAAAAAAAAAATGCTTATAGGCCATTACAGTTGACCTGAAAATTGTAACTTGAAGACCAGGTAGCTAGTTTCTCATCCTGTCATTATTTGTTGGTGTTAAAGCTGTAAACAATATTCTTCTCAGTGTTGAGGAGTGTTGTTGAATGAGGTGATAATTGAACGTTCATGAAGAGATCTTGACAGTTTCCTCGGATACATTGTGCACATGATTTATGTAAGCAAAAACTTCTTCTTCACTTTCAACTCTGTTTAGTTTTAACATTTTCCCATGCAACAAGTGTATGAGCCAGTGCACCAGGTGTGTGAGTGAGTGCACCAGGTGTATGAGTGAGTGCAACAAATGTATGAGTACACCAGGTGTGTAAGTGAGTGCACCAGGTGTATGAGTGAGTGCAACAAGTGTATGAGTGAGTGCACAAGGTGTATCCGGCTGGGGGAGCTGGTTGGCCGAGTGGAAAGCACGCTGGACTTGTGATCCTGTGGTCCCGGGTTCGATCCCGGGCGCCGGCGAGAAACAACGGGCATAGTTTTTCACCCTGATGCCTCTGTTACCTAGCAGTAAAATAGGTACCTGGGTGTTAGTCAGCTGTCACGGGCTGTTTCCTGGGGGTGGAGGCCTGATCGAGGACCGGGCCGCGGGGACACTAAAGCCCCGAAATCATCTCAAGATAACCTCAAGGTATGAGCGAGTGCACCAATTGTGTGAGCGAGTGCACCGGGTGGATGAGCGAGTGCACCAGGTGTGTGAGTGAGTGCACCGGGTGGATGAGCGAGTGCACCAGGTGTGTGAGTGCACCGGGTGGATGAGTGAGTGCACCGGGTGGATGAGTGAGTGCACCAGGTGTGTGAGTGAGTGCACCAGGTGTGTGAGTGAGTGCACCAGGTGTGTGAGTGAGTGCACCAGGTGTGTGAGTGAGTGCATCAGGTGTGTGAGTGAGTGCATCAGGTGTGTGAGTGAGTGCATCAGGTGTGTGAGTGAGTGCATCAGGTGTGTGAGTGAGTGCATCAGGTGTATGATTGCACCGGGTGGATGAGCGAGTGCACCAGGTGTATGAGTGAGTGCACCTAGTGTATGAGCGAGCGCACCGAGCGGATGAGTGAGCGCACCGAGTGGATGAGCGAGCACACCGAGCGGATGAGTGTGAATTGACGTGTTGCAGCAAGTGAGAGTTGGCGGGTGTGTGGCACAACATAACAATAATCAAGAAGTGGTCCACGGGTGTATGAATGAGATGCGTGGAACACGTTCCTCATCACCGCACGTTCTCATATAACCAGCTGCGTAGGCCATTGTTTACTCAATTGTTCACCAATACCGATCATAAAATTATTTGTGATGAGCAAGCTAAACTACGTACAAATGTTTTACCCCATATAAATAAATAATTATAAGCTTCAGTTGTCTTGAAGCATATTTAGGGTTTGATAAAGAAAAGTATTGCTTTGAATTAAATATTATGAAAGTTCCTTTATTGTAAATTCAATTTTTTGCAACTTTTAGTTTTTAGTATTTATTGAATTTGGGGCAGGGAGTGGGATGGGGGAGGGAGATGTTTTACCCTTAACTGCTGTGCATATCTAAGTTGCTTACACTTTTCACCAAAGGTGTTTTTGATTTTAACACAAGGAACTTATTTATCACCATTTCTAAACTGATAAAATTGTCACATTATTTGTTTATGATAACCAGCTGGTAATTGAGTATTAAGTAAACAATAAGGATTATGATAACATATCCAATGATGTGCAATTTTTGTAACAAAAATCCGTGCCAGCTGGTGAGGCAAGAGATGAGAGGGGTGCTATGCATCACATTAAAATTTTATATAATAGCCTATAAACGTTGAAAGGATTCATTCATAAATGGATCCGAGAGAGAGAGAGAGAGAGAGAGACTTGAGCATGCCTTGGTGATCAGGGAGTGGCCAGGCTTGGATGAGTGTATTGTGCTATCCCCAATTAATATGTAGGGGCCAAAGGTGTTGCATCACCTGTGATTGCTCAGTTAATGCCCAAGGTATGTGTTAATCGTGATTGGTCATGTGACCCTTAAATATCTTAGAACTAGCTGTGATTGTCTAATTAAAACACTTAAGTATCTTGGTATTTACATACAAAAATCTTGTGGCCATGAATGTAAAGTTTCATGGGCCTTGTGTGACCCCACCGCCCTCATCTGACCCAGCCTGGGGAAGGCACTTTTACAATGGTAACTTAGGAGAGATTTGTCATTAAGAAATTAATGAATGCGTGATAGGATTTCATATTACTGTACAAATGTTGGAAGGAACACATTGTTGCTCCAGTGTACATTTTGATTTGGCTTCTTACAGAATAAAATACTTTTATTGTATATGGTATTGTATTTAACCCCTGCACTGTGCATCTTTTTCATGTAATTACCTAAGTATAGTTAGAGGATGAGTTACTCTCGTGGTATCCCATTGTCCCGTACTCTGTTATATGACTCTTGAAACACAGTTTTGGCCTCCACCACCTTCACACTTAACTTGTTCCAACCATTTACCACTCTCTTTGCAGAAGTGAACTTTCTAATTTTGGGGGGCAGCTTTGTTTCCTTAGTTTAAATCAATGACCTCTTGTTCTTTAAGTTCCAGGTTTCAAGAATTGTCAATTTTGTTGATCCATTACTATTTTGAACATCGTGATCATATAGCCTCATTTTCTTCAATCTGCTATCTTTGGCATATTTAACACCTCTAACCTTTCCTCATAGATCTTGTTTTTCAGTTCTGGAAGTTTTTGCACCTTTTCCAGTTTATTGATGTGCTTAAAATATGGGCACCGTACAACTGCTGCATATTTCAAATTTTAGTCACACAAAGGTCGTGAATAATTTCTTTGATATTTCACCACCATATATAGTGGAACCTCGGTACTTGTACTTAATTGGTTCCAAAAGGCCTTTCGAGTGCCGATCTGTTAGAGTATTAAATAATTTTTTTCCCCATTAGGCATAATGTAAATTAGATTAATCCATTCCAGACCACAAAAGTATACAATAAATTAAATAAATGCAAATAAATTCTCACTTGCCTGCACTTAGTAGAATTGATGGTGTATGTGGAAGGTGATGAGGCAGAGGAGGAGAGGTGTTATTCTTTGGCAGGGGAGTCTCCTACCATTATAACATCCGGGGTGCTCTCATTTTTCTTTTTCTTTTTTCTGTTTCGCACTTTAGATTCATTCTATGGTTTTCTTACAAGAAACTTTAACAGTGTTGATTGGATTTGCTTGGATTTTAAAATGTTTTTAAAGTGAGACATAACATTGTCATTCAGCAGGTTTATAACACTGTTCATCACAGCATTGTCAGGGTGATTTTTTTTTTTTTCCCCCAAAAAAAACTTTGCACTTCCACCCCCAATTTTGCAAACATTTCTTTTATTAGGGAACTAGAGACATCCTCCCTACCCTCCTCCTCTGAGAAGAACAACTCAGCTGCTGTGTGTTGTTGCTCCCTGTGAAGGTCCTGCAGGTCTTACCTGGCGAGTCTCTTCTGTGCTCCTCCACTAACTCCTCCAGTGGTGAGCTCTATTCTGTGCTCTTCGACTAACTCCTCCAGTGGTGAGCTTTGCTCTGTGCTTCTCCACTAACTCCTCCAGTGGTAAGTGTAATTACCCAAGTGTAGTTACCTGGTCGATGGGGTTCTGGGAGTTCTACTCTCCAAGCCCAGCCCGAGGCCAGGCTCGACTTGTGAGAGTTTGGTCCACAAGGCTGTTGCTTGGAGCGGCCCGCAGGCCCACATACCCACCACAGCCCCGCGGCCCGGTCGTCGACCAGGCCTCCTGGTTGCCGGACTGATCAACCACAGCCCGGTTGGTCCGGCACTCCTTGAAGAAAACAATCTAGTTTCCTCTTGAAGATGTCCGCGGTTGTTCCTGCAATATTTCTGATGCTCGCTGGTAGGACGTTGAACAACCGTGGACCTCTGATGTTTATACAGTGTTCTCTGATTGTGCCCATGGCACCTCTGCTCTTCACTGGTTCTATTCTGCATTTTCTTCCATGTCGTTCACTCCAGTACGTTATTTTACTGTGCAGATTTGGGACCTGTCCCTCCAGTATTTTCCACGAGTATATTATTTGGTATCTCTCTCGTCTCCGTTCTAGTGAGTACATTTGGAGAGCTTTGAGACGATCCCAATAATTTAGGTGCTTTATCTCTTCTATGCGTGCCGTATATGTTCTCTGTATTCCCTCCTTCACTAATACGAATAGGTCTAATACTGGCAGTGGTTCGCTTTTGATTTAGCATATGTGAAGAAATATTTTTGGTTTTTCTATATTTCTTGAATTGCTTTGTGTTCTAGTTGCCTTTCTTCAGTCTGATAGTAATGCTTCAGTCTCTTTTCGATTTTTTCAATCTCCCTGTTTAAATTATTTCTTCTTTGTATGGAGAGTCGTGTCTGCTTAAGCATTTCTGTTAATTTCTTCCTTCTTTTGTAATGTCGTCTGCGTTCTCTTTCTACATTTGACCTCTTTACAGTTACAGGATTAGAGCTACGCTCGTGGTGTCCCGTTTCCTCAGCACTCTGTCACATAATGCTTTGAAATTAATGACGGTCTTGGCCTCCACCACCACCTCACCTAACTTGTTCCAACCGTCTACCACTCTGTTTACAAAAGTACGTTTTCTTATATTTCCCCGGCAGCTTTGTTTCGTTAGTTTAAATTTTATGACCTCTTGTTCTTGAAGTTCCAGGTTTCAGGAAATCTTCCCTATGAATTTTATCGATTCCCTTTACTATTTTGTATGTAGTGATCATATTACTTTTTTTCTTCTATCTTCTAGTTTAGGCATATTTAATGTCGGTTAAATGTCATGTCATGCCTCTAACCTCTAGAGGTTATGCCTCTAACCTCTAGAGGTTGGAGGTATGGCAACCACATGAAACTAATAGGCTTAGCAGGATGTGCAAAATAACCCTGTTGAAAAGTAGAGGTGCAATAGGTATGCTGAGAGAGAATTCTTACCAACATCAAGGGCCCAAGACTTCAACACTCACCCGCTGTACATAAGGGGCATAACTGGCCGGCTTCTCACAATGTTCAAGAGAGAACTCGACAAACACCGCCAAAGAATACCTGATTAACCAGGCAGTGATTCATGTCAGGCTGTGTAAGCAGCCTCATCCAACAGCCTGGTTGACCAGACGGACCAACCGGGAGGCCTGGTTGGAGACCAGACTGCGAGGGCTTTGGTCTCCCAGAACCTCCACAAGGTAGGTAACCTCTCCTCATAGCCCTTGTCTTTCAGTTCCAAGAGTCATTTAGTTGCATGTCTTTGCCCCTTTTCCCAGTCTGTGGATGTGCTTCTTAAGATATGGGCACCACACAACCACTGTATATTCCAGTTTTGGTCTCACAAAGGTCGTGAACAATTTCTTTAGTATTTCACCATCCATGTATTTAAAAGCAATTCAGGAATTGGAAAGCATACCATTGGCTCCTCACGCAATGTTCTTTATGCGGTCCTCAGGTGATAGTTTTTATCTAGAACCATCCCTAGATCTTTTTATCTGAATTTTTTTTTTTTTTAACTTTTTTCACATAATTTGTAGATTGTGTGTAGTCTAGTCTATTTTCTCCTATTCCACATTCCATAAACGTGACATTTATTGACAATCGTCTGCACCTCCTACCTTCCCCAGTATCTTAGCATCATCAGCAAACATGCTCATCTAATTCTGTATTCCTTCTGGAAGATTGTTTATGTAGACGATGAACTTTACTGGTGCAAGAACTGAACCCTGTGATACTCCGCTAGTAACACTTCTCCAGTCAGATTCATTACCTCTAATTACCACCCTCATCTTTCTGTTAGAATTTTTTCATTCAGGCCAGAAGTCTCCCTGTCACCCATCCAGCATGTTCCAGTTTCCAAAACAACCTCTTGTGTAGGACTCAGTCAAAAACCTTTTTTTCTAGCATTTTGAGTACCATGCTTGTTAATGATACGGGACTATAATTTAGAGGACCTTCTCTGCTACCATTTTTGTTGACTGAAACTATGCCTTTTTCCATATATCTGCTAAATTTCCTGTGCCCAAAGATCTTTGGAATATCAATTGAAGTGGAATGCACAGCTCAGTTGCACATTCTCACAGCACCTAATCTTATCTTGAGATGATTTTAGGGCCCGCGGCCCGGTCCTCGACCAGGCCTCCTTTTTGTTACACCCCCCCCAGGAAGCAACCCGTAGCAGCTGTCTTAACTCCCAGGTACCTATTTACTGTTAGGTAACAAGGGCATCAGGGTGAAAGAAACGTTTTGCCCATTTATCTCCACCTCCACCGGGGATCGAACCCGGAACCTCAGGACTACGAACCCTGATTTTTTAGAATTAATTTTTCAATTACTATCGACAGTGAAAAGAAACGTAAGAAATATTGAGAAAATTCGTGTTAGAATTATTAATCTCACTTTTTCGGTCATATTATACAACATGCATACATATATATATATATATATATATATATATATATATATATATATATATATATATATATATATATATATATATATATATATATATATATATATATATATATATATATATATATATATATATATATATATATATATATATATATGTCGTACCTAATAGCCAGAACGCACTTCTCAGCCTACTATTCAAGGCCCGATTTGCCTAATAAGCCAAGTTTTCATGAATTAATGTTTTTTCGTCTACCTAACCTACCTAACCTAACCTAACCTAGCTTTTTTTGGCTACCTAACCTAACCTTACCTATAAATATAGGTTAGGTTAGGTTAGGTAGGGTTGGTTAGGTTCGGTCATATATCTACGTTAATTTTAACTCCAATAAAAAAAAATTGACCTCATACATATAAAAAAGGGTTGCTTTATCATTTCATAAGAAAAATTTTTTAGTAAATATACTAATTCAGGAAAACTTGGCTTATTAGGCAAATCGGGCCTTGAATAGTAGGCTGAGAAGTGAGTTCTGGCTACTAGGTACGACATATATATATATATATATATATATATATATATATATATATATATATATATATATATATATATATATATATATATATATATATATATATATATATATATATATATATATATATATATATATATATATAATATTATAGTATATTTTGGTAGCAGTCTTTCTTGTAAACATATGTTGTTGGATATGACCGAAAGGGTAAGATTAATTCTAACACAAATCTTTTCAATATTTCTTACGTTTCTCTTCACTGTCGATGGTAATTGAAAAATTAACTCTGCAAAATTCATTTTTTTACATTTTTATTTTTGATCTGACGCCTAAAAGCGTTTCATAAGTGCTGCTTACATTCTCAAAGACTGGTTTACATATACAAATATCATACTTATATGCGTCTTGGGTGAGGTGATATGACAAATGTTTTGGGTGAAGTGGGTATAAATTGGGTATGAAATCATATGAATGAAAGTAACTACAGAATGCCTATTGGTCTTTCTCTTGCTGCTTCTATGTTGTTTCTGTGTCTTGAAGTGGTGGTCAAACGGAGAACCGAGTAATACAGGCTTACCTTTCTAGACTACTTTCACTTTGATCAGGTTTGGTTTAACGGATTCCTCCATAAACTAGAGGTGTACGTACCACGTCACACTCAGTGCTTCTGATGTAAAGGTTTCATCCATACCTCAAAAGGCTGCATCAAAGACATTAAATGTGAGAAATGCTCTGGTTCTCATTACACACAAGACTGTGCGTCAGATATACTCACCTGCTCTCACTGTGGTGGCGATCATGATATTACATTCAAACAATGTCCTCCATATATTGCGGCAAAACTAAGGTTCTCTCTATCACCAACCTGCAATACAATAGTGCATTGAAACAACCTAACTCAGTCTATCATCAACCACTACCTCACACTCAACCATAACCTTTGCGTGTACCTGATATGTCTGTCACTGACAATCCTGCACTTCCAGTCCAATTCTTTCCCACAAATTATACCACTGACCCCTTGACCTTGTTGAGAGACTTGTCACTCGCATTGAAAATACACTAAAAAAGACGCTGGACCGACTCCTAACTAAATTCTTTACACAAGCAAACCAACCCATCCCCGAGACCGACCCAACAGACACCCCATCGACATATACAGACAATGACATCCGCCCTAACACAGCTACCATTGCTGGACATACATCATTTGAACTGATGCGGGAAACCTTCCTAAATGACTCCTTAACACACGTCCGAGAACCTTAACACGCCTTACCAAAGTCACTCCTTAGGCTGACTTGCTGGGAGGTTTGTACAACCCCCAGCTGTACAAACCTCCCAGCAACCTGGCATTTTGACTGAAAAAAACACATAAACCACACTCTCTCGCGACACATCCTCCAAGCACTTCCAGATATTGAACACGGTGTACTACTGACACGTCAAAGATGACCGATGTAATCACATCCCAGACGTAAAAATCAGAAATACAACATAACCCATTTTCAACAAACCTACCCCAACCTAACCTTATACACATTACCACCATGTTACTTAATGTACTCCTGTAACTTACCCTACCATAATGTACCCAAACCTATCTGAATTGCGACTAACTCCCAAACATACTTCGACTCACAAGCTCAGTCTCTTGACTAAACCTCACACTTTTCATAAAACAGCAACACTTTGATACCACCATTAAGAAAACTCCTCATCTTTGACATCTATTTCCATTCCATTTCAATTTGGAAATTTTCATTTCCACTCATATGTTTAGTTTTCTCATTGTCCTCACGCAAACAAGACATTGATAACTTCCAATCTCTGCCAAATTATGAACATTGATGCGCCACTGTGAGTTCCGCATCTTTCAACATCACCGCTCGTGCAGTCATCGGGAGGACAAATCTTCATGCAAACTGCACGTATTGCAAAGAAGAATAGGGGCATCAGGGTGAAAGAAACTCTGCCCATTTGTTTCCACCTTTACCGGGAATTGATCCCCGAACCCTAGGACTACAAATAACGAGCGCTGTCCGCTCAGCCGTCAGGCCCCCTGCCCCCACTTAGCTTCTCTATTAAACTAGTTGAGAGACGGACACTTTTTGACGTGATTGGGAAAGACATTCCACACTTTGGGACCCTTGATTTACAGGGCATTTCTACTTTGGTTAAGTCGCACTATTATCAATATCAAACATATATTTGTTTATAGTGTGGTGCCCATGGTTCCTCTTATACCCCTCTAGAAAGCGTTATTTTTTTGTATTATTATTATTATTATTGCTTTGTATTATTATGTTAATTGTCTTATGTATGCCACCTGTGAGGCAGGAGTTGTTTAATATCTATCAGTTCCTTGCTTGGTGAGGAGCGGACATTGTGTGTTGAGGCGAGGAAGATGTCGGTTAATGAATTTATGTCTTGTGTACTATTATATTCAGATTCCCAGTTTATATTGTGAAATGCATTTATAAGATTGTCTATTGCTGCTTTGCGTGTAGTCTGAAGGTTAATTTCTTGGTCTCCCATGGTGTCATGTCCATGTTGGCAATGAGGAAGGTAGGATAGTGGTCGGTTGTTCTCTCAGTGAATATACAAGAGTCAAGGTATAATTAATAATGTCACTCAAACTCGTATAAGGATATAGCTGCTCTGGTGAAAGTGCAACATCGAACAACAAAAGTCATTCCAGAGCTAAGTCAACTCACGTATCAGGAAGGGTTGAGGGCCACAGGGTAACAACACTGCACACCAGGCATGACAGGACAGATCTCATCGTAACCTTTAAAATACTAAACAATTTAGAGGATGTTGAGCTAGATAATATCTTTAAAAGGTCAGATGTAACACAAACAAGGAGCAACGGTTTCAAGCTCAACAAGCCACAGTGTAGGACTGAGAACAGGAGATACTTTTTCACCCACAGGATTATTAACCCATGGAACCGCCTACCCGCCGAAGCCGTAAATGGCCAAAACTCAGTTAAAGTTTAAAATCCAACCGGGAAAAATCAACAGGACAAATGGTGGGACCTTTGACAAGCCACCGGCTTCCTGTCCACGGCAAGGCTCTTAGAGTGTTAGTAATCCTCAGGTAAATTCAGGTAAAGAGTATTACATTCTTGCAAAACCAGTAATTGCAAAGGGTTTGGTAATTTCTAAACGAGTAATTATTAAAAGTATGATTAAGTTATTATGTTTAATGATGCTTTATTAAATACTGCATATACATTAGATACAGGAGTTGACTATGATTAAAAAGAAGTAGGTGGCGTGAAATATGTAGGTTGGGTGCTAAGGTTAGCGGAGGTGGCGAGCGGGTGGGGCGGCAGCGGTGTTTACCACAGTGTTCCCTAGACAGTCCGAGAGTGAAGGTCACGCCCGGCATCATGGCCTCCCATCAACACCTTATCTTTAACCCTGCCCAGAAAGTGGCCAAAATCTCCCATTGCTCCTCTATGGAGCAATATAAACAAATGCATGAAAAATCGCTTAAAGACCCGGAAGCTTTCTGGGGGGAGATAGCCAAGAGTTTTCACTTTGAACACAGTGTCACGGGCAAGTTCCTGGATTATAATTTTGACATAAGTAAAGGGAAGATATTCGTGCGGTGGCTGGAGGGCGCCAAGACCAACATCACCTACAACTGCCTTGATGTGCACGTCCTGGCTGGCCACGGTGACCAGGTGGCCTTCTACTGGTGAGTGATCGATCCCTCCTGCTGCTGCTGCCCTCTCCCTCCTGCTGCTCTTAGCCTTCCCTCCTCCCGCTGCTGCTGCTGCTGCCCTCAGCCTTACCTCCTCCTGCTGTCCTCTCCCTTCCCTCCTGCTGTCCTGGCTGGCCACGGTGACCTACTGGTGAGTGATCGATCCCTCCTGCTGCTGCCCTCTCCCTGCTACTGCTGCCCTCAGCCTTCCCTCCTCCTCCTCCTGCCCTCTTCTTCCACCCCCCCCCAGCTGCTGCCATCTTCTTCCCCCCCTGCTGTTGCCCTCGTCTCCCCCCCTGCTGTTGCCCTCTTCTTCCCCCCCCCAGCTGTTGCCCTCTTCTCCCCCCCTGCTGTTGCCCTCTTCTTCCCCCCCCCAGCTGTTGCCCTCTTCTTCCCCCCTGCTGTTGCCCTCTTCTCCCTTCTGTTGCCCTTTTCTCCTCCCTGCTGTTGCCCTCTTCTTCCCCTCCCCTGCTGTTGCCCTCTTCTTCCCCCCCCTGCTGTTGCCCTCTTCTTCCCCCCTGCTGTTGCCCTCTTCTTCTCCCCCCCCTGCTGTTGCCCTCTTCTTCCCCCCCCCCCCCCCCCCCCCTGCTGTTGCCCTCTTCTTCCCCCCCCTGCTGTTGCCCTCTTCTTCCCCCCCCCCTGCTGTTGCCCTCTTCTTCCCCCCCCTGCTGTTGCCCTCTTCTTCCCCCCCCCCTGCTGTTGCCCTCTTCTTCCCCCCCTGCTGTTGCCCTCTTCTTCCCTCTCCTGCTGTTGCCCTCTTCTTCCCTCTCCTGCTGTTGCCCTCTTCTTCCCTCTCCTGCTGTTGCCCTATTCTTCCCTCCCCTGCTGTTGCCCTCTTCTTCCCTCCCCTGCTGTTGCCCTCTTCTTCCCTCCCCTGCTGTTGCCCTCTTCTTCCCTCCCCTGCTGTTGCCCTCGTCTTCCCCCCCCTGCTGTTGCCCTCTTCTTCCCCCCTGCTGTTGCCCTCTTCTTCCCCCCTGCTGTTGCCCTCTTCTTCCCCCCCCTGCTGTTGCCCTCTTCTTCCCCCCTGCTGTTGCCCTCTTCTCCCCCCCTGCTGTTGCCCTCTTCTTCCCCCTGCTGATGCCCTCTTCTTCCCCCCCTGCTGTTGCCCTCTTCTTCCCCCCCCCTGCTGTTGCCCTCTTCTTCCCTCCCTTGCTGTTGCCCTCTTCTTCCCTCCCCTGCTGTTGCCCTCTTCTTCCCTCCCCTGCTGTTGCCCTCTTCTTCCCCCCTGCTGTTGCCCTCTTCTTCCCTCCCCTGCTGTTGCCCTCTTCTTCCCCCCCTGCTGTTGCCCTCTTCTTCCCCCCCTCTGCTGTTGCCCTCTTCTTCCCCCCCTCTGCTGTTGCCCTCTTCTTCCCCCCCTCTGCTGTTGCCCTCTTCTTCCCCCCTCTGCTGTTGCCCTCTTCCCCCCCCCCTCTGCTGTTGCCCTCTTCTTCCCCCCCCTCTGCTGTTGCCCTCTTCTTCCCCCCCACCTCTGCTGTTGCCCTCTTCTTCCCCCCCACCTCTGCTGTTGCCCTCTTCTTCCCCCCCCTCTGCTGTTGCCCTCTTCTTCCCCCCCCCTCTGCTGTTGCCCTCTTCTTCCCCCCCTGCTGTTGCCCTCTTCTTCCCCCCCTGCTGTTGCCCTCTTCTTCCCCCCCTGCTGTTGCCCTCTTCTTCCCCCCCTGCTGTTGCCCTCTTCTTCCCCCCTGCTGCTGCCATCTCCTCTCCGGATACCCTCCTCTTCCCTGCTGCTACCCCTCCTCTTCCCTCCCCCTTGTTTGATACCTGCTTGATGAGGTTCTGGGAGTTGGTCCACCAGGCTGTTGCTTGGAGCGGCCCGCAGGCCCACATACCCATCACAGCCCGGTTGGTCCTGCACTCCTTGAAGAAAACAGTCTAGTTTTCACTTGAAGATGTCCACGGTTATTCCGGCTTCTTATATTCGCTGGGAGGATGTTGAACAACCGCGAACCTCTGATGTTTATACAGTGTTCTCTGATTGTGCCTATGGCACCTCTGCTCTTCACTGGTTCTATTCTGCATTTTCTTCCATATCGTTCACTCCAGTATGTTGATATTTTACTGTGTAGATTTGGGACTTGGCCCTCTAGTATTTTCCACGTGTATATTATTTGGTATCTCTCCCGTCGTCTTTCTAGCGAGTACATTTGGAGAGCTTTGAAACGATCCCAGTAATTTAGGTGCTCTATCTCGTCTATGCTTGCCGTATATGTTCTCCGTATTCCCTCTATTTCAGCAATCTCCTCTTCTGAGGGGGCAAGTGTGTACTGAGCAGTACTCAAGACGCGACTACACAAGTGATTTAAAAGTACAACCATTGTGATGGGATCCCAGGATTTGAAAGCTCTCGTAATTCATCTTATAATTTTTTCTGGCTGACGCAATATTTGCTTGGTTACGCTCCCTAAACGTTAGGTCGTCGGACATAGTTATTCCCAAATCCTTTACACGCTGCTTTCCTACTATGGGCAAATTTGATAGTGTTTTGTACCCTGTATTATGATTAAGGTCCTCATTTTTACTGTACCTGAGTACCTGGAATTTATCACTTAAACATCATGTTATTTTCTGTTGCTCAGTCGAAAACATTTTAATATCTGCTTGTAGTTTTTCAATGTCTTCAGCAGAGGTAATTTTCATGCAGATTTTTGTGTCATCTGCAAAGGATAATACGAAGCTGTGCCTTGTATTTGACTCTATATCTGATATGAGAATAAGGAAAGCAGTGATGCAAGGACTGTACCCTGAGATACAGAGCTTTTAACTGCGCATGAACTCGATTTTATATGGTTGACTGTTACTCTGTGTGTTCTGTTCGACAGAAAACTGAGTATCCAGCGTCTTACTTTACCAGTTATTCCCATTGACCTCATTTTATGTGTATCACTCCATGGTCACATTTATAGAATGCCTTTGCGAAGTCCGTGTATACCACATCTGCATTCTGTTTTTCTTCTAATGCGTCGGTGATTTTGTCGTAGTGAAAAAGCTGTGAGAGGCACGATCTTCCTGCTCTAAATCCATGTTGGCCTGGGTTGTGGAAGTCATTGGTCTTAATGAAACTAATGACCTGACTCCTGAGCACTCTCTCAAATACTTTTATTATGTGGGACGTTAGTGCAACTGGTTTATAATTCTTTGCCAATGCTTTGCTCCCTCCCTTGTGTAGAGGGGCTTTGTTTGCTGCTTTAAGCGCATCTGGTATCTCCCTCGTGTCCAAGCTCTTCCTCCACACTATACTGAGTGCCTGTTCTACTGGTACTTTGCATTTCTATATAAATATTGAATTCCATGAGTCTGGACCCGGGGCTGAGTGCATGGGCATATTGTCAATTTCTTTCAAAATCTGCCACGCTCGTGTTGATATTGTATCACGGGTAAGGTTTCTCGAATTATCTTTCCTCCTTCTCCCCCTCTACCCGTATTCTTAATTTTTATTCTCTACCAAGGGACTCCAAAACTTTTACTAAAGCCAACTCCACGCCACGTGGTCCTAAGACGATTGACCGACTTAGGATTCTACAACCCGTATGACGTGACCTAGACTTTGAGCAAAACCCTAGAGTCGCCTCCGCCGCCACCACCAGACCAGTAACACTGAACAATGATCGAGGTCTGGATCGATCATGCTAATTAATCAACCTTGGGGCTTGATCCCCACTATAACCGATGACCTTGAGTGTGGAATAAATTACACGGTAAAGATGACTTCCGATTTGGTGTTAGAATCGGCGCCCAATTCAACTCTGCCTCGTAGGGACCACGTGACCAGGACAAATTCATCTAAAAAGAACATACACATGGAAATAATACAAATGCAATTTATTAACTAATTAATTTATTAAAAGAAAAACTAAAACAAAATCTAAAGATGTTCACTCCCTACTTGACCTGAACGGCAATGAGTTGACTATCCCTATAAAAACTCATACAGCAACTCTACCTTGGGCGACCAGCTAAAGATGTTGGGGCTGGTCTTGGGGGAGGTAAGATAGTTGACCTCTCCCAGTTGATCTCACGTCCACACTGATCTCCCTCTCTGGTCTTCCCCTGACTAGAGCATTGTATTGTTCCGCATCGCTTACCAAGTTACTTAGCCAGGTTTAAGTTATAACAATTAACCTCTGTTGTACTTAATTGATCCAGACTGGTTGAATTATTTTACTGAAGTTAAATTACACAAGCATCTAACGGCAGAGCTGTTCCCGATCACCAAAATGGTTATTTGAACTTTGAGAAATAGTGGACATGTCAACTCTGATGACCTATGACCGCCGGTCACTCGCGCCTTACAACTTAGATCTGATTCGTGACGTCACTGATGGTGACTTAACTCAAATCTCCTAATAATTAGAATACTCTTGGTACTATAACCAGGAATATTATACAATACAATTTTAATACAAAATGAATAAAGGCTAATTTCTCTAAATTACTGAATACTATAGGATGGTTCATTATACACAACTATGAACAGAGACGCCCGCCATTTGTGACTCAGACCTGCTAATCCCCAGGGGAATGTGCGTTGTTGAGGTCAGGTCCCTACACGAAACTTCTGGAACCTTCTGGAATAATTCTTACAACAGCCTAGTTTGTTACAATATGTTATATTTACAGAGGGTTTGGATATCACGCATAAAGAAGTTGTCCGGATCTTCCACATTCATGCTGTGTATCGAGGTGCTAAACATGTCCTCATACTGCTTTTTAAGGATTTCACTAATTTCTTTATCGTCTTCAGTGTATGAACCTTCACTAGTACGAACAGGTCCAATACTGGCAGTGGTTTTCGCTTTTGATTTAGCATATGTGAAGATATATTTTGGGTTTTTCTTTATTTCTTGAATTGCTTTCTGATCTAGTTAGTTTCCTTTCTTAAATCTGATATGAATGCTTCAGTCTGTTCGATTTCTTCAATTTCCCTGTTTAAATTATTCCTTCTTTGTACGGAAAGTCGTGTCTGCATTTCCGATAATTTTTTCTTTCTTTTGAGTGTC